CCATCCATCCGCGGGAGCGATCGGTGGTGCAATTTTTTCTCTCTTCTCTCTCTCTCTCTCTCTCTCTCCCTTTTCTTCTCTCTCTCTCTCTCTTGCTCGCGACACGGGTTACACGTCTCGTGTTACCGATTCGCGACGACGACTATCGTTAAAAATTGATCCGCGAAGTAAATGCCGCACGAAGTGAACAGAATGGCCGGCGGTTTTTATACCGGATTTTGGTATCAGGCAAATCCCAGCTGCGCCAATAATCGACGGCCCATCGTTCACCGTAGCAATTTTACGAACCTCGTTATCACTCGCGCGGACCGACGGTATCGCTGAAAAGCCTCCTCTCTCGCACGCATGCTCCAATCCGGACGGCCGTGGTTTCAAACGGGACTAATTCATGGATCGGCGAGAGAGATTAATTGGTAGAGAATTAAAAGTGCCGCCATCGCGCTGTCACGCGGATATTACGGCGCGACGGGAAGAAAGCGCCTTTTTTCCACGCTCGTTGACGCGCGCGCACTCGATTTCGGTCTCGGTCGAACTAGAGAGAGTTAGAAAAAGAAAGAGAGATAGGACGATAACTTACACATTCGCGTTCACGTAAAAAAAAGAACAACGTAACGTTTAAACATTTCTAAAATCATTTGACGGATTAAAAAGGAAAATTCCTCGGGTTTTCATGTTCGCGCACGTAGGGATATCGGAAGCGCGCTCGCGTACGCTCGCGCAAAATCGGTCGCGTTGCAAAAAGGATGGATTAAAAAGATCGTATCTTTTCAATTTTTTTTAAATTTTAACGTTACGCGCGCGCACGCGCGCGTGTTAGCTGAAATAATAATTCTCCCTTTAAAATCGACGCTCTCCGTCGCGCCGATATTCTTTTCCTTTCTCTCGCTTGTTTTTTAATTTGTTCCGTCGGATCTCTTGTGCATCGATGAAAAAAAAAAAAGAGTGTTCCGCGCGTATCGTATGATATTATATACGACGAGCGGCGCTCGCGCGCCGAATCCCTGTCCTGAATTTCAATGACGGATCGCTCCACGAGTCCGGGGCCGTTTCATTTTTTTTCCTCCTCGAGGAGATTGCCGAGGGAGGATCATTTGCCGCGTAACTTTATGATATTCAACGTTAATACAAACTTACGTTTATCCCCGGCTCTTCCCCGGCTTCTCCGAGTCGAATGCCGCGGTTAGAACCCCCCCGTGAACCTTCCGTGGGTCGACCGCGGCGTGGATATAAATGGCGCCATTACAAATAACGGGGAAGCCTAACGCGCGTAACCGGACGCGCGACGTAACATCCGAAGAAACGGCTCAGGTGCGCGCTCATTCGTAATCGGGCCGAGAGAACGGCGTGATGCATTGGCCGATTCATCATCGGGATTGCACGCATCGCGTCGATCGTTGTAATGGACCAACGACCGAGCCTCGCATCCGGCCGGGGCTCTTCTTTCGAATTCGCGGTTTCGCAGCGATTTCAAGCTGAATCGCCGTTCGATCGGAGCCGGCGCGAAGATTCGCGTCGACGGCGTCGACCAGCCGAGCGTGAAAACGCGTCGTTATCCGGATGTGCGCAACGCTCGAGCGAGCGAGTGACGGCGGTAGGAACGCTCGTGTTCCCGTTGGTGAATTTTCAGCCGGAGTGGCGGAGAAAGACGCGCGAGAAAAGTTGCGAGAAAGGATCGATGCCGTCCGGCGCGCGTACTGTTCATGACCGGTCCGGGGAAACTTTGATCGTTCGGGACAAAGCGAATTCCAAAAAGGCGCGCGGGAGAGCGGAGCCCCGGGAAAAATAGAGAAACACTTGTACGCAAGAACGAACGTGTCCCCCATCTCGCCCCATCCCCCGTGGGATGTTTCCGAACTTGGGCAATAAGACGGCAGTCAGTTGCAGAAGGTCGTGGATAGTTTCGGAAACTCGCGACGCGACGCAGCACCGGCAGCCCCGTTCTACACTCCGTTCTCCCTTACATTTCGGTAATAATCCGTTACTATTTATTAACCCATTCTCTTCTCGCCCCCCGCGATTCGCTCCCGTTCTTTCCACCTCGTTCGCCCTTCTCACCTTCGCTCATTGAAAGCGAGCGAGGAGCGGAAACGCGAGCTCCCGCGTCTCTCGTGGGATTCGAACGGAAATTATTAAAGGAGAGGGTGAGAGAGCAAGAAAGAAAGATAGAGAGAGAGAGAGAGAGAGCGCGCACCGTAAATCTTCTTATTTCCAAGCTTCGTTAAATCCCGAGGAAAATAAATATCGTTACCAGCGGTATATAACGACGCGAAACGTGCTCAACTCTTTCGGAATTATTCCGCGAGCCTCCGATCTTTTCGTTGCGCTACAAGGGGAAGATTATTAGGGAAGTGCCTTTGTGAGAATTCACGTTCGTTAATAGGTCATTAACTTGCGTATGAATACGCCACGAGTGTGGATGCGGCCGCGCGGTGAAATCCTTCCTTCGCTGTCGGCGGCACGGTCCCTTTTGTTACTCCCCTGTTTTTCGCCCGCGGCGTAATTTTTACACGGTCATTATCGCCATTAGGGGAGAATGCGCGCCGACTCACTTTTCGCCGGGGCTGGCGAGAGCACGCGGCGGCAGTTTTCAGCGGGTGCAGCCGGTAGAGCAGGGGGACGACGAAATAAGAGGCATCGCGACGTCTGGCGCGCGGATTGAAACAAAGCATCCCTATTTTAAATAATTATAACTTGCCTCTGCGCTGCAATCCCCGTGTAGCAAAGCTATTCCCGCTCCCTCTCTTTCTCATCCACCCCCTCCCCCCACCCTCCCCTCTCTCTCCCTATTTATCTTTCTATCTTTATCTATCTCGGGCTCTGTCGAAAAGCGGCCTCGCCCTTTGGATACTCGCGCCACCGCCGCTACCGGCGTTTCAAACGTACAGGGCGTCCCACCCTGCCGAGCTCGACTATCTTACGCATCGATGGACCCGTACAAAGCCGTGTGCGGATGTAAACGAGCAAGCGAGCGAGCGAGAGAGAGAGAGAGAGCGAGAGGGACGAAATATGGAAAACAAATAAACAACGCGCGGTACTGTTAACCTGAGAATATTTTTATGCAATAATACACGCGCGCGCATGCTTTCTTCTTTATTGGAAATCGATTTTTTATATGCTCGATGGCGATGTAAACCTTTACGCGACGCGGAAGTTCGTGTTCCGTCGCCGTTTTCGAAACAATTTTCGGCTCGCTCTCTATCTTTCTTTCTCTTTCGCTCGCTCGCTCGTGTTCCCGATATATTCAGCGATTCAAAAGTGCTCGGGTACTACCGTGAGCGCCTCTCTGTTCGTACATCGAATAACGTTATTCGCGAAATGCGACGGTGCAGCCGCGAAAGTACTACTGTCCGCGCGGCTCCTCCGAAAGAGAGCAGTGGACATCGCGGTAAATGAAATCGGAGGAGTGCGTTACTCCGGGGAAATAAAAGAAGGAGCGCCTGTACAAGTTGCTCTTTCTTTCTCTCTCTCCCTCGTAGATCCGTTTACGCTAGGAAAGAATGACAAAGGAAAAGCGCGGGGCGCAGTGGATAAGCGCGAGGAGCGAGCAGCCAGTTTGAAATTTCAAATTCACTTACGGGCCTCGCTGCCGAGTTTTAATCCGCTTTAATTATGAAAAATCGTCGAGTGCCGCCGCCGACCTACCTACCCATCTACCTACCAACCTATCTACCAGTGAACCTTCGCTCGTCCGCTCCATCCTTCCGCGTCCCTTCATCTCCCAGACATTCCTTCGCGTCATTTCATCGCCGAGGCGAAGATCGTCAGTCTTTCTCAGCCGTCACACACTTTCCTCTTTACCCGCGCGATATTTAATTACCACGATTACTCGGTCTATTATCGGATCGCGGCACGTAAAACGCTGGATTTGTATCTTTCTTAAGATTTGGCAACGCGCGATAATCTCGGGAGATCTTACGGCTTGTATAATTTGACTTAGGAGAAGCGAGAAATCGTACATAAGATGCATATTTCTTCAAAAGATTGAAGATTGTGCCAGAGATACGAGCGGAGGAGATTTTTGGCATTTAATTATCTCCGCTTCTGAAATATCTGGGTCGGTAACGCAAAGTCGCGAGATTAGCCCGCAACTTTGGAAGAAGGTCGAGCATTTTCAGAAAATCATTTTAATTTCTCTATCGTTGCGACCATTTTTAACATCTCCGATGCAAATTCGATTTCCCACGTGTAACAATTTAACGCAATGTCCCGCCGACGTTAGCAGAAATATTCCACCTCGATTCTTTTCACTCGTTCCAGTTTCTTCGCGTATTACCTCCGTGTATTCAATTACGGCGATAACATGCATTTTAGCGTTCCGTAACATCTTGAGGTATATACTCATAAAAGGAAAGGAAAATAGAAGCAGTTGCCATCTCTTCTGCTCAGATACCGCGCTAAGAATATCGACTCGAATTCCTGTAACTCCTATAACCAGAACCTTCCATTTTCTCCTTCCGATGTCCTTACATCGTTCGTTTCAAAATGACGTTACTTCTTCTCATTCCGCCCTTTCCTAAGATGGTCATAGCAGCGAGTAAATTTCCGGGATTAAAAGGATGCTCTAAATAAGCGTACGATACTTCGATGACTGTACGACGCTCGTGATCTATTTTCCAACGATGTTGTTATATCAGGACCGGTGCATTACCGCGAGCGTAATCAAAGTCACGAATGTAATTTTGGAATCGAAAGCAGAGATGGATAGATAGATAGTGAGAGAGGGAGAGACTACAAAGAGGAACTTCTGTAATTCCGTTAAAAGACATAGCGGTATAACACAGTGAATTCGCGGAACGATGTTACGGAATTATGATACGTATTACGTGCGTAGTTATCCAAACTGATCAGAAACCGTTGTTGCGGATCGGAACTTTTACCGTAGTCTCTGCAACTCGAAAGTTTGATCATTAATATACGGAGATCGCCGGCCAGACGCGCCTCCGTGGTTGGCGTTGTGTGATTCGTGGTCGCGTTAGATCGATCTTCCGCATCGACGTGTTTCACTGACCTGACGAACGCGAGATGTTCATTCGTGTAAATCTTGAGAGATCGCTCGATCGCGGCGAGTTCGCGAAAGTCCGAAGTGCGGAAGAGCGAGAACTTACTTTCGCGCGTGTCGGCCGTCGTGTCGCCGGCAAGCATCTGCGATGCATCACTCACCGCATCGCCGTCCAGCACTCTTAACGTCCTCCTCAGCTTATTTAACTTCTTCAGTTCGATGTTCATCAATCTTCTCGCCGACTTTGCCTGCGCGAGCACTTGCCGCCAGTCGAACGTGCGTTCGAAGGGCGTGCTCTTTAATTTGGCCAGAGCCTCGGCCTGCACCTCCAGAAAATTGTATATAATCTCCTCTTCCGGGTCGGCGAAAACTTCCTTCTCGACGTAAATGGGACAATTAGGGTCTTATCGATGTCGTCGCGACGCGTCGTGCCCGGAGAAATGTATATCGATATTAATCACGGTCAAGGCGCGACGCGACGTCCTGTGCTAATTATCCGCGGCAGGAATTCCCGCAAGATTAATTGGCTTCCCCTCCCGACGTACTTCTTTCCGAAGAGCGGTTTCCTTCTTAATGAACTCGTCGATCGTTAAGCGTTTATCGATCGTCGGGGCCGGCAAAGGGGGCAACAACAACGCTTCCCTGCGTTGCTGCTGCTGCTGCTCCGGGAAGAGGAACGCGACCGTCTCCTCAAAAATTCTGTCCTGCAGGCTCAGGATCTCCCGTATCTTGCGCTTCTTTGTCCTCGCCTCCTGCCGTAATTTGAGAACGGGCGCGCGTTGCCTCTCAAGCACGTCCTTCCGCAGCCCTTTTTTCTCCAGAATCACTCGCTGCATGCGTCTCTCCTCCATCGACATCCATCGTGCCTTGGCTTCTTCGAGAAATTGCCAGGGTTTCCGGCGCTGCGAGACGTCGCGCGAAATTAATTTAGCGACAAGAGAGCGAGGGCCGGGGGAGGTAGGGGGGAGAGATCAGTTTCCCGGGCGCACTTGCTCCCGAAGATGGCTCGAGACTGAATGGCGCCTGGAATTCACGCGGAGCCGCCACTATTCGCGGGATTATAAACGTTCGATCGGGATGCGATTATTCGTGTTAGCGCGGGATTGTCATCCCGGAGCGTGCCGCGAATTCGGGGGTGAGCGGCCGAATTATTTATCAACGCGGAATATCAGATTTATCCCGTACCGCCCTCGCCCTCGTTGGTGTGACCGCTCGAGCCGCCTCCTCGACCGCGCCGGCTCTAATCTTCTCCTCGGCCGCGAAAATTCGCTTCCTCTCGCTCTCCGTGTCGCCCGCAGCCAGCCGCCTCCTCATCTCGATTTCCTCGGGATTTGTTTCGCGCCACGCTCTCTGCCAGGCATTAAACTCGCTTATCTGATCGACCGGGAAAATAGAAAATCGTATGTACATATGAATAGGCGGAATAAAAAAATTTACTGCCGTCGGCAGTAAAATTTACGACGAATCACTATGGAAATAATGGAACGAGGAGAGCGAGCGAGCGAGCGAACGAGATTCTTCTTCTACTTCTTTTCCCTTTTTTTTTCTTTTTTTATGAACATGTTCCCCGTTAAGATCAAGTGTATTTTTTCGTCTTACAGAAGTATAAAGTTTTATGAAGCGTAACGGTATGATCCAAACGCTGCTTGCGAAACGCAGTTTCCTTCTTTCGCTCGACGCATCGAATGATCCACGGAATATTACTCACGTGTCGTCTCGTGTCAATTAGAATTTTAAATAAAACTAGAGAGGCGCAATTGAGAATTCGACATGTCGAATGTTTGAATATTCTCAATATTATGAATTTAATACTCATCGCAATTGTTTTAACACGCACGAGTAAATATCTACTCATGTGAAGAAACAATCTATCAAAATTTTCTCCATTGCGCTTCTCTATTTACATCTGGGACACTAGCGTCAACCGTTTCTCCAATTTACACTCGCCACGATGCGATAATTACATTCAATAATTAGCATGAGCGATCGTCGACTCCATTTTCTGCCATCGCGTCTCGCGCGCTACTCCTCCGCCCGGAATTCCCTCCCGTCGCAAGTCGTATTTGCATTTGGCGTCGCGAGTTTCGAGTTACTCAGCGCACGGTATTCACTCGATCGCGTCGCGATCTCTCTCACCCTTTGAACCTGACGGTCGACGAACTTTATTATCCACTCGACGTCGCTGACGTCGTACGTCATTAAGATCCGCGGCGCCGTGAACATCCTCAGAGCGCCGGTGAAGTCGCAGAAGCCGATGCACTGCGGCTCCAACGGCAGCTCGTGCGTGTAGACGCCGCAGATTATGCGTCCGGACAAACTTTGCGTGAAGCTCGGCTCGTGGCTCTTCACCACCAGGTCCCAGATCTCCACGGTGCCGTCCATTCGCGCCAGGATCAGGACGGTCGGGCGCAAGATGCCCCATGAACACGCCGTGTATCTGCGTCGGAAATTGAATAGGAATCGGTGCTCAGGATGTCGATTGTTTCGAAGTTCGAAACCCGGCTGAAAATTGTCGTTAGGCATACCTGATATCGCACAAAGTTCTAACTGAGCGCAAAGTAATCCTTACTATGATTAATCCTAATCCAAGTCAATTTCTAGTCGGGAGGATGATTTCCTGTGATAGATTATAATTCGGAAATGTATGCACATTGAATTGACACACATGACACGCTCGCGACCGTCTGTCGAAGAGTCGGCAGGCGGAAAGAGAGAGAAGGAGAGAACGCCGGATCGATAACGTTTGATAATGATTTTCGCGCGCGCGCGCGCGGCCATACATCGAAAATAGCTTTCATTAACAGAGTAGTAACGGTGGCCGGGCGCTGTAACCGTGAGTTATGATCGTATTGTCATGCAGATCATACCGAAAGTTCGGCTCTCGCCCGCCCCCGAAAACTATGCGCGGAGCGTGAAACGCGAGCCGGCCGCCGTCGCCGGCGGGTGCTTGCTGGGCAATACGAAACGCTATCGTCGCAATTACATGCTGCGCATTGCGGCAATTTATCGCGCGCGGGGTGCTCGTTATTTTTATTGCGGATGAAACGCGAGCGGCGTGCACGCCGCGCGCGTCCTGCCGGCGTGCTCCGCCGTTTATGTATATTCATGCTCGTGCTTCGTTAACTCGCGGTATATTGACGTTCCTCCTGGAGGAGCAATTTCTCCGCGGGCAATTCTCGTTCTCCTAGATTGTTTTAATGCGTAACTCTCTCTCTGTTTTTTCTATTTCCCTCCATCTCCGCTCGTGTTCTCTCTGTCTGCCCATCTACCTCGCTCCCCCCCGCTGTAGTGTACGCACGGCGAAATCAATTAACGACGCGACGACGTTTACTCTGACTGGACGACCAGAGGTTCGGTTTGCTTTAACCGGACGACACTCCGAGCCCGCACCACCTACACGATATTGGACTTCTTCCAAAGGAGCGGCTCGCCGAAATCGTCTCGCCACAGGGCGAAGATCTTGCCGCCCACCGTAAGGACCAGCTTGTGATAATACCGGGACCTGACCGAGTGCGTGACCGGTCCGTCGTGCGTCCTCTTTATCCACAGCCACCGCGCCGTCTCGCGACTCACGCTCACGTCGGTCGCGAATTCGAAGCCCTCCCACGTTATGCAGCCGAAATCACCTGTTGCCATCGTTTACGCTTTAATCCACTCTAACGCTGTTGATATTAAATTAAAGTCTTATTTAGGCAGAGAGGCGCGCTGCGAGAGAAAGAGAGAGAGAGAGAGAGAGAGAGACATATATGTATAAATTTAATTAATCGCGTTTGAGGCTGAAATTACGCGAGCATCATTCAACTTGAGGTTAACCGCGGCTCATCCTCCAGTCTCTGTGTTATTATTAGGCGTCGATGACCGAGAATCGAATCGCCGGGCACACACGTCGCTCAAAACGACCAGGGAATCGCGTCGGTCGAGTGTTTATCGGACCTAGTGTAGGCGTTTAAAGAATCGGTCCCTTAATTGTGTCTCAGGCGATGTGTTAATATTGACAGGCTCGCCTACCTTCGACGGTGCCGATCAGCATCTTCGGTTCCATGACGTAGTCCGTCTTCTTGATTATGGGTCGATAGTACTTTCTAATTGCGACGTCGTCCCTTCCCACTGGGAACGGCTCAACTTGTTCCACGCGAAACTTCGGATTGTACATGCTGAGCATCGTTATCACGAGCCGTCGGCTCTCGTCCGGATATTGAACTACGAGGATATAATTGGGCTGGAAGACGCGGTCGAGCATTTTGAAGGACGACACCGGCTTCGCTGTCGTCTCCAGAAGTGATTTCCTCTTTCGCCTGCCGCGCACTTGTCGAACGCCCTTCTCCGTGGGCCGCCACCTTTCGGCGCATCGCTCTCGGTTAGAAATCGGATCAACTCGGTTCGTCTCGATGTTACCTCACGCCCGCTGATGAGCTCGTTATCTCGAGTGAGAGAGCGTTACCGCAAGTGTGTACGATCGAAAAGTACAGTTAACCCGGAATACACGCTTATCTCGGACGGCCGTTTGCTCCAGCGAGCAACAACAAGGCGCACGGTAAGGCGCAACCTCGTAAATATCGTACCAATCTCGTGCCTAGCGAGGAAACAATTCACCAGCGCGAGCATTCACATAGCCATTGTGGCCGAAATGAAGAGAGAGAGTCTCCCTCGCACATCACTGGACGTGCAGAGAGGGCGAGAGAACGAGAGCTCGGCGAGGATGAGGAGGTTGGTAGTTGGCAGGTTCTGAGGACTACTCTCCGAGTAGGGGCGTAGAAAGGGTTGGAAGCGAGGACTGAATACCGATCAACGATTATAGAGGGATGGTCTATCCATTTTCGGACCATATAAACGCCAACTTCGGAGAATCGAAGCGGCAGAGTCGAGTTGCAGGACCATTACGGTTCCACTGATCGGGGGAGTTTCTCGAGAAGGATGAGAGCGGAGATGGGGGAGAGAGCGGAAGACGGGTCGTCGTCGTCTCGCGTCCGGATAGAAGGGCTCGAAAGGCAAGTCGAACGGCGCGACGGCGGCGTTCGCTCTTTAACGTTCAGCTTGGCGACAAGTTTCGCGCCCGTGGAACATTTGGAGTCGCTAACTTTCAGTCTCGAGAGATACGACGGACCTTTCTCGTGGTTACCAATTGAGCCGCTGGCTCGGGTCGCTCTCGAAGATCGTTCTCACCCGGCTATTCGGCTTGCTCGTGCATTTTTTAACATCGTGACGGTTTTCCGCCGGCCGGACGAGAAACATCGTGGATGCGAGATAAAGAGAGAAAGAGAGGAGGAGACGAGGGATTATTAACAGACATAAAAGATATTCTACGCAGCGGTTAAAAGCAATACGCTCTTAAACGCATGGGAGAGGGACTTTCGTTCAAGACCACTTAATGGTGCTGCGTACTCTCAAGCAGAAGAAGCCGTCGTATTGGATAGTGGAGGGTCTTCACTCCGGTCTTCATTACGAGACCCTTGGACTATGGAGCCCCGCAGAAAATGCGTTTCTTAAGGTATTTTCGCAGTTGATCGTGCATTATTCCATAAGATAAACGCCTTTATTTAGTACTCGGCCCTTAGCTGCCCGACCATGTAAATATTTAGCAGCACTTAGCTTATTTATAAGCCTTCCCTTGTCTTCGCTGCAAGAACTAGTTCTTTCGTTCGCAGGCGGCTCGAGAGAGATTCTTATTCGATATTAAAAAAATATACGATGCTCTCGCAACATCGAGAGCGAACCGGGAAATCGATAAGAGAAAGGTATTCACTTGAGGTCCCAGAAGGCGATCGTGCCGTCCTCGCTGGCAGTTATAAACTGCCGACTTAGATCGTCTGAGGGCGCGTCTTCCGGCAGCGGCGCGATTCTGCCGCTTCGGTCGATCTTGTGATGCAAGGGCATCCACTTTATCTGGGTGATGGCCGCCTTCTGGCTGTGCATCAGCGAGGACATCGCCGTTGGAGCGATCCGCGACGTCACCGTCACGTCGTGCATCCAAGTCATCAGGCTCTTTATCGCGAGCCTGTACTTCTCCTGGTGGCTCGTCCTCGCCACCACCGTCTCCATCTGCTCGATTTTGCCGGGTATATGCCAGATGGCGACCTGATGGAACCCGGGTGGATTTCAGCTCGGTGTGGCCGGATAGTCGGGCAATCGAGAGAAAATTCTCGCCGGCGAAAGTGACGCGCGTCAACGGAGATATTCGGATGAAGTCGGCGATATGCGAGAACATAATCGATCACCTGGCCGTTTGTGCAGCCGCCCACGACGACATTCCCGTCAAGTGGGCACACGCTGACAGACGTCACTTCTCGTGGACCTTCGAGGATCAATTTGGGCGACAGAAAGTCGTTGAAGGACCATATTAGCACGCGGTTGTCGCCGTCGTGAGTTATGAGCACCTGTGCGCGGAGAAAAGGAGAAAAAGAGGATGATTTCGGGCGAATCGCGCTCTCGTCGATAGGAAAGTTCACGTAGATACGAAATTCCCCGAGTTGGGGGTCGATTTACGAATTGACGAAGGGCTAGCGTTTACGCGAGATAGCGCGTTTGCGCCAATCGATAAACCTCTTCCTGAGATTTCGGGCCTATCAGACGTTCGCTATTGGCGTGCCGCGTGTAAGCGATCATCGCTATTCCGGTCCAGAACGGATGCCAACAGAGATCGTTGACGACTCGCTTCATAGTGAGCTTCCCCTCGTAGTAACTCTGATGCTCCGTGTAGCCTATCGGCACCGGTGCCTGCGTGTCCTTCTCGTTGCGCACCAGGTTTGCGTAATCGTTCGTGTAAACGTCCCACGTGGAATTCATCAAGATCTAGATGCGGACAGGTAAAGCAGCGAAATTAATCGTCCTTCGTTGTGAACTAGTTTTTTTTTATCTCGATTAAAATGAATATTTCTTCGTTCAAGATTAGATCTCGTATAGAAGAATTTTTAAGTATGTGGTAAAATCGGAGAAAATTTTTATGCGGAATGATTGATAGTCACTCACGTCACTCGTGAAGCGGTAACAGTTACCTGATCGCATATATCGTCGGTGTAACGGTACAAGAAATCCTTCAAGGAGTCGCTTTTCTCCTCGGAGTACGTCGACAGATCGATAGTTTCATATTCGTACAGATATTGGAACCACGAATTGACGGATATGCGCGGCACCGTTTGAGCCTCGTTGTGTCGAACGATGGGCGCGACTTGCGTCGACCTGCTTACCAATTTGCGCCATACATTGTCAAATATTTGCCGGCACGGCAGCAACTCGATGTATCCGTCTCTTTGATCGCCGGCCTTCCTATCCGCCAGATTTATCGGCATCCCCAGCAAATCGGCGGTGGACGTCACCTGATCAAATATAAAAGATCGCCGTTCGATCCGCTCGCGCGCGATATGGCACGGCACAAGAGCGTTACGATGAAACAATCCGCGGGAGATATCGCGCGCTTGCGAGCGCGCGGGGATTTATGCGAGCCACCTTTTGTCCGTTCGAAATCAGGATAAAGTGATTAATAAATAATTTATTGCAATTTGTGAGTGCCGTATGCGACATTATTTGTCGATTCACTCCGGCCTGATGTATTTACAGGCGGGATTACTAGAAATTTACGATAATCACTTTAATACCACGGCTTGGAAATTAATGAACGCGACCCGTCGATATCTGCCCTACGTGTCACCGCTCCGCGACTCGGAGCTTGATAGAAACGCGCTGGAAAAAAAGTCCCGCCGCATAGGGCGCGAATACCAACGCGCTCTCGAACAGGCGCGAAAGTTTCGCGACGGCGGAGAGCCGCGTCACGTTGAAGACACTCGACGTCGGTGGCGTCTCGCGCGAAACTTCGATTGAGTCCCTGTAATAAGAGCTGCGACATAGAGGTGATGATTGGTTGAGCTATTGCATATTGAGTTCAAGTAATATTTGCATTTATATAAAATTCTATCAAATCAAGACTAGAAAGATTCTAAGATTATAATATTCTTGCTTAAATATGAGAACATTTAGCATAATTATTGTTATATAGAAAAGAATTTCAGTGCGTGTAATTAAGTAAGCACCCGATTAAAATTCGTTGAGAAGAAAAGCGTCTTTGTTACTGAGCCTATAAATGATGGTTTATCGCAACTCTTATCATAGAAATTCTAGACTTGGGAGCTATTTGCAGGAAGAATCGACTCCTTCGTCGCTACCGAGGACTCACATCGATCTCGAAGAGCGGCCGCGTGTTCCTGACGACTTCGGCGTCGACCTCGGCGCCGCTTCCCCAGTCGTACCACGGGCCGACGGGCTTGAACACCGCGACTCTCACGCGAGTCTCGTGCTCCTCCCGCTGCTGCTGTAGCATCCTCGACACCTCGTCCTTGCTCTCCTGAGTCAGGCAGATGTAGAACTGTGCGTCCTCAGTGAGCGACGGCGCGTAGCCAATGAGCATTTTGTCCTCCGGAAACTCGTGAATCTCCTCCTTCACCGGCAGGAAGTCGCTACTCTCGGAGTGTAGGTCTATGTTGTCCTCGATTATCTCCTTCCTCACGTGGACCCACGGGTACTCGGTGGTGACGTTCTCGCCGATAACACAGCCGACGATCTTCTGCGTCAACGGCGACAGGTCGATCCGCGCAATACCTCGCATGCCCTGTGAAATCGATTCGTGACGTGAAATCAAGCCCTTCTCTCTCCCTCTTTTTCTATTCGTCTCTCATTCCCTCTGTAGAATGTAACGAGTGACGTCCTCTTTTTTTTTCACCTCTGATTAGATGTCGGAGCGAGCGACGGTGAAATTTGCGTTGTATAATTCCGCGAGTAGAATTCCACGCGTTCCATTTGACAGTCCGATTAGGACCGTTTGGAATTTCGAAAATAGTACAAACCGCTGTCACGTGAAGAGAGGATATTCACCATCGACACGGAATATCGAATTCTCGGTGGCGGCTCCTCTGTCACCTCTATTATACTGAATCTCAACATTTCACCCATCGACTCGGTAGGAGGGGCGTAGGAGGCGTAAGACTCGAGATCGTAGATGGTTTTCCGTCTCCCCATTGCAGGATCGCCCATGTCTATGTGCACCTTCTTCTTCGCCTCTCTCTCCCAATCTCGCTCGGCTGAGGAGGAAAAGGATACGTCGGGGCTATTCGTCAAATTCCTTTTTTCGTCCCAACGTGTCGTTGAAATGCGCTAGCCGGCGCGCATTTTCCGAACTCGCATGACTCATATTTAAATGAAACGAGATCAATAATCTCTCTCGTTATTGTAAGCCCGGTTCGTCGCTTTAAATCCGCGTCATTCATATTTGAACATATTTACGGTCGACTAGGTTTACGTTTCATTGTTAACACACTGTGCGTAACTTTTACCCGACACGCGTATCCGATACGCATCATCGATCTTCGTTCGGTACATAATTTTAACCCATTCGTTACAAAGTTCCAATATTGGTATATTCGACATTATCGACGTTCTTCCACGCAGTATCGTATACGCTTTTAACAGCGTATTTCCATCAGGCAATATTTGCTTTTTAAATGAATGTGTAAACAAAATATGTTAATTGCACCCAGACCCCAAAAGAAAATTCCGCCCGTATAATCCATGTAGATATTTCGCTACACAGACAAACACACACATACATACGCGCATGCCCTTTATTTGAGATGTACCGTGACATATTTGATCAGTTATCATTATTCCGCGATCGTTCCCGAAACGTCACGCGTATTATAACCTACCCGGCTCTTCTTCCTCGTCCCATTCTTCGCACTCGTAGACATCATCCTCCCCCGAGTCGGAGGGTTGTTCCACTTCGAAGGAATCATCGTGGTACCCGTCTTCCAACTCGGTGTCGTCCTCGCCTGACTTTCCCTTCTCTCGTGGCGGTCCTTTATCGTTCGCAAGCGTTTCCTCGTCGTCCATGACGCAACACGGCTCGCTCGATTATTTTGCGTTTCCGAAAGCCACCGGTGCCGGTGAATTCAGTGCGACTCGGCGCGGATATAACGCGTCCACGCGCGCGCGTTCGCACGTAATACGCGTGCTGCGAATCGATCGGACGTGCGGCGAATGTAACGAGAGCTGGTTCACGCGCGTTGGACGCTTGTTCGCATGGCCAGAGACAAGGAGAGAGAGAGAGAGAGAGAAAGAGGGGGAGGGGGGGGGGGAGTCGCGGAAAGACAGAAGAAAGGACAATCGTGTGAAACGAGCGTAATCGGGGCTCGCCGGTGTGTAACGACTTTTTTAATCCGGGGGACTGTGTATAACACCGATAAAATCGCGGGGCTGGCCGGCGCTACACGCCGAGGCTTAACGAAATTCTGAGTCGGGTACATTTGCAGTTTGATTGAACATTGAAATCTCGGGTTTCACGGCGGCGGCGATGGCGGCGGACCCGCCCCTCGTCCAGCGGGGGGCACAGGCGCGCGCGGACGGGCTGGATGGATGTGTTTCGGAATATCAATTTTTCCCTGTGAAATACGTGCGAACACGAGAAGGGCGATTTAATTGTTTTTACATCAGGCGAAACGGGTCGCCCGTGCACTTAACCCATTTCGCAAACTCGATACACCGCAAGCATTGTCAGCGCTGACGGAACGGTTTGTAACCGGATGAGTAATTTAATCGCGCGGCGGCTAATTCGTCGCGTTTAAACGGACGACGTATCGGTAATTGGTAATACGAATCGGGGCGATACACTTAGCGTAAACATCGCGAAATGTTTGCCAACGCGTTAACGAGCAGTGTCGCGGCCGACAGAGGGTTAACGGTGCGACTTAGCGGTCACCGTTGTTGCTCGTGCCCGCTCGTGCTCGACGCGTATTCTCGCTCGGCTGGGGGGATTCGTTCTTCCTATTTTTTTTTTTCACGGAACAAACGCGCCCAATGGCGCGCTGCGCAAAGAAAACAATTATTTTTCTCTGCAATTATCTGAATAAAACATGATGCGATTGTGTGGCGCGCACGGTATCCCGGAATTGTAATTAAAAGGTTCCCAGTGCGCGCGCTCGTTGAAACGCAATTACAAGCGGTATAAAATATTGCCTGTTTGTCAAAGCAAACTTTTGCTCGTCAAATGTAATAAATTGCCGCGCGCGGCAACGCGATTCTGTCACGCGACGATATCGACGCGATCTTACGCCGGAGAATTTGGCAAGGGCTCTAATCGAGCACACAGGCGATGTGACGTAACGAGCGTCCATTTTCGCTCACTTTACGATGTTTCCCCGAAAGAGGATACGCTTCTTTTGCACACCGGTAATACCGGTCGTATGTTACAAAAAATTCATGCCATTCGTGCATTTAGCGAAATATACACGGCAAGAGATACGCAGGGAGCACGTTGCGCGTGCGTATCGCGCGGAGATATTAAAGTGACGTTAAATTCGCGGCGCGTAGATAAATTTACAACTTATTCTTCGCGATACGGCAGTGAGACAAATTTACCTTTGCATACACCTTAAATTCCCCGCGATGCTTATGGTCGCGCAGGCAGGCAGGCAGGCGAGAGAAGGGAAATCGCTCCGCGCTAAGCACGGAGGCAAATATTTATTCGAGATTACGCGGACGTAGATTACGACTTGATCCTTTATCCGCAATGTAGCGGCGCGCTGTACTTTTGCCTATATATACGATTAAAAATATGTAAATTATCGAATACGCGCGCGAGCCGGGGGTAGTGGGTGAAATAAAAGGGACTCGAGATGACAAGAATAAACCGATGCAAATACGCACTGATAGCGCACTCTGGTAATCAAAATTTATGGGTCGTTTACGCTTAAAATATGCAGCATTTGACGTGTATCCGCGCACTCTCCCACGCATTACTTTATACATAATACATCGTCCTACTTCGGATTTTGAAAGTATCCATAACGCGCGGCCATTAGAGACGCGCGCAATAAGTATCATTTTTACGATTTATCTTTGCATTTTCGATTCTCTCTGATGCGTGCGCGAGCTCTTTCTTGAAAAATGTACTTTATATCGGGCGCACACCGGCGAGTCGTAAAAAGAAGGAGAAGTGTCGGTCGCTCCCTTTTAAAGGGCGTTCAGTTAAGGAAGACTGAATTTTGCGGAACGATATTGCATAGCTTGCGGGTTACAGTTCTCCGCTACTTCTTTTTATATTCGGGAGATTCTTTATATTACCCTTACTTATTCGCCATAAAACGCGTGTATTAAGTCGTAAGGTGGATCAGCTTCCGGAAATAGAAACTTTGACCCAACTGAAGGCCGTAAATATAACTAATAATACGATGAACGTAATTTATTTCGTTTCCCTCTCCCTCTTTCTTTCATTTCATTGACTCATTTAATTGATTGTTTGTTACCGTGGATCTACAAACATACATGTAATTAATCGTACGATATACTTAAGCCAATTAAACGGATCGGTTGTACAACGTTAAATTTAATCGTTTTAATTAATTTTTGTTGTGTTTTATTTCTTTGTTTAAGGTCGGTTCGCTGTATTGCACGTGACATCGATATAACGCCGATGTAAACACACCGAGTTCAGGTAATGTTTTCCATTTGTTGTTCGGCCGTTTTCGAGTCAAACGTATCTGGATATTAATTGGTCGAAAAGTTCCCGATTTAATTACCGCGATAACGATTTTAGCGTCGCATACGATAGTGTTACGCGGGCGCGCGCGTTCGGTATTTCCAGCGTTTCGGTAGGCCCCGTAATCGGCGATTCGCAACCGTTGGAAAAATAGATTCCCCGGCGTTTAGACAATTTGGCCTCGCAACCGGACGGGCCGTACGGCGATTAATCAATTGCAAATATATACTACGTAGATTGGAAATACACGCTGCCTATTTCCTGTTTAATCGAATCAAATTGAGATGGTATTTTCCCTGTGTCCGGTCTCTCCATTTATCGGGCCGAAATGTCGAGTGGCTTTCCTCTCTCGCTCTCATAGAACGTAAACGACCCAAAATGCGTTCACTGACGATTGATCGGTCAAAGGGAAAACCACGGAAAGTCCTCGCCGCTTCCGAGAGAGGGAAAAATACGTATGGGAAAAAATAGTCGAGCATATAAATTGTTCCGGGCTAATTATCGCAGGAACGTAACGCTCGTCGCGCGCGATACACTTTACGGAATCGAGTCTTTCCTCTCGTGGCGAAACACAACAATGTCGGGGACGTTTTGAGAGAAAGAGAGGGAGAAAAAAGAATATATCGTTTTTAAATCGCATCACGAGCTCGCTATTCCTCGCCGTCGCGAATATATTTCGCCAAGCATTCTTATCTCTATTTTTGCCGCTTACCGTATCTACCAGCCGTTAAATTTATCACTCGCAGCGTCCGACGCCCGCGTCTCTCTCCCCCGCAAAGAGAGCTGAAGATAATTTATTTATAGTGAAACGCGGCATAAGTAGCCGGGCAGGACTTTAAGTGGCACTTTCCTTCCCGGAGGATGCAAAGGATGTTCCGTCGCAAACAGATGTTAAAATTCTCGGAATTTCGCGCGCTCGAGAAGGAGAGAGGGGGAGAGAGAGAGAGAGGTGCGCGGCGTTTACTGCTGCGTTTATTTCGAAAATTTAGAATAGAGCGCTTTTTTAAGTCCCGCCGGACGGAACTTTTACGCTGCTTTTGTAGTAGTCGGTTGCACAGCACGCGCGGCGGTGGCGGATACTTTATCGTTCTAGCTTTTATTCCGCTCGCTCGACTCACTCGCGCGAGTCCGCCGGAGCTCTCAGCGGATACAAGAGAATCGTCCGAACGAATGCGCGGCACACCCCCCAAGCGAGCATTGAAAATATTGGGTTGTTTTTAACACCGCCGTTCATCCCGGGCGACATGAATTTTTACGACGATTTGACAGCTGCGAGATTTTCATATGAAAGGACCTCTCGTCGGGCCCACTCTGCAAAATTATTTGCGCGGTGAAATTTATGCTCCCGGGACTGGGATTTTTGGGAAAAGGCGGCTCAGGTAGACGAACACGGTTTTGATACTCTCGAGCTGCGCGTCGAGCACAAATTTCGCTTAGGAAATAAGGAAAATGCACGCTCGGAAAGGGGGGTACGCGAGCGAGTGTAATTTCTTCCAGAATGATTCCGCGGATCCTCGAAACGTCACAGCGTATGATCGAAGCGAAATCAATTTCCGATCGCGCGCTAATCACGTTTTCGTTCTGTCGGGCGTTGTACTTTTTTTCTCGCTCATCATCCATCGTTTATTCGGACTTCTCGTAGTCGGATCGTCGTTTTCCGTTACCACCGCGAAGGAGGACAGAGATTGGGTGAGGGATTGGAACTTTGTCGATCGTGCCTCTGAAATTTTCATTCGGCGAAGCGCCTCGAGTGCCTGACGGCGCGACGCGAGCCCGAAATACAACGCACTCGTCGAACCAGCCGTCGACCGATTTAATTTCGTCCCGTCACCCCCGTCGCACGCGCGCCGGCATTTAGCGCGACTCGGCCGCGCTCTATTTTCATTTCCATGATGAATAATGCCGAAGTAGTTATGTGTAAACCGCCGCAGCTTACCATGTCGCGATTTGCATAACGCCTTTTTGATCGGTGAGGCTATCACGGCGACGTGATGATCCGTCGTGAGGAGATTCCGACGTGTCACACAAATATGAGAAGCGACGTCGCGTCGAGAATAGCGAATCAATCGATCCGGATATCGGATGCGGGATTAGCAAGGTGGAATAATACCGCGATCCTTTTCGGGTTTTCCTCCTATTCGCGGCGACATTCGGCGATATCGTATTCAGAGATGACATGGTGCTCAGTGAAAGAGAAAGAGAAAGGAAGAGAGAGTTCCTTCGGATAACAAGTTATAATGTAACTCCGTCCCGTAACTCGACGGGACATTCGGCGCGTATGAAATTCAGGCGCTTGATAATTTCGAGCCGGAGAATTGTGCTACGTCATAGATGGCTACGTTTAACGGCGAATATA